TGTAACTACAGTTTTAAAAGGGTTTGGGATTTTAAAGTTATATATTTTGAACAAGAATAGACTAATGAGTTCCACTATCGCCTTTTTAAACTTCTGTTTGGCAAAACAAACTCAAAAATCATCAATGAATGCGAGCGGACTGTCTTTGAAAACACAAATGTCGCTATTTTTGTTTTTCGAGTATACACTTACTTCAAACCCTGTAACTACAGTATTAAAAGAGTTTGGGATTTTAAAGTCACATATTTTGAATAAGAATAGACCAATGAGTTCCACTATCGCTTTTTAAAACTTATTTTTGCGTTAACATTATTTTTGCGTTAACTATTTTTGACAAAACAAATGTCGCCATATTTGTTTGCGAAGTATACACCTCATATTTCGAACCTTGCAACTATAGTTTTAAACAGTTTAGGTTTTGAAAATTACCTATTTTGAACAAGAACGAGTTCCACTATCGTTTTTTACTTCATTTTTGGTCTAACAAACCCAAACATCATCATTAAATGCGTGCCTACTGCATGTTTTTGTTTTTGACAACACAAAAATTTGTGTTTATGTGGGTACTGTATTAATATACTTCCAATAAAGTTCAAAAGATTTTTACATTAACTTGACACCTATTATTCAAACTTTTCTTGGGCTTACAAAGCCGAAACTGCCCCTAGGTATTAATAAAATCTCTTTCAAAATTAAATAAATGCCTTACCGGAAAGGATATTCTTATTCGAAAAGGAAACGAATTTGTGAAAATAAGATGAAAGTCAAAAAGGAATTATTACTAAACAAGGAAAACATCGAAAAGGCAAATTTATATAATGTGTTGATATACAGAGGGCGATGATGCACATGGAAAATCTAAGTAGATCATACAGGCAGCAGTTTTGCAATTAATTGCAAGCGGCCATGCTTCAATTGAAATCTATACGGTAAAATAGAATTTAATTCGCAACATAACTTACCCGTATGGCCGTCTTTGATAATATAAACAATAATCAAAACAGGCAAACACTATTTCAGTCGACGCTCCTTGTCTTTGAAATGGTATTAAAACAAAATGATCTTTAATTGATAACAAAATATAAACCAATTTCTATTCCAAGTCCACGATTCTCAAACAAATTCAAAATCTTTGCATTGTTAAAAACTGATATCCGTATTTTCCCCGAATTGCCACTTCAAAGGAAATAGCCGGGTTTATATATATATAATATCCCCGGGCTATAATGAATTTGGAATTTGCCTAAAGAGGAAACTACAAGCTCATGCGGCAAGCCCCTAATCTCCTTCTCGTCTAGATAAACGCTGTACGTCTCCAGAAAAGAAAGTGACTCCTCCGTCAGAAAGCTATCACCCGACGACGCCTGAGGATTAACTGGATCAACCGTCAAAATTCTCACAGGACTGCACTCAGCGAATATATACAAAAATATTTGCTGTTTCACTTGTGGAATATTAAATGATAATATGCGCATGCTCGTCCGCATTTAAACATTAAGATGCGCATGTTCAACCAGAGTCTACGCCCCACAAGCATAAGAGCTGTTTCAATGGGAACAAAACCTCGCCAATCGAGCTCAATTAGTCCTCGCCAATCGTGCTACGTCGTTTTTAAGCCAGGTAAGTGCCTAGGGGCCTTCGGCCTCGGTGTTTAACCTATACATAACTCATGTACAAAGACACGAGGTTGACTAATGTGCAAGCCTTCGAGCCGGAGCCTTTCATTTGCGAGTCGGAGCCTTTCATTTGCGAGCCGCAAACCTCTCATTTGCGAGCCTTTATTTATACCTTTACAAGCCCGTCTAATCTCTATATTTGAGATTAGAATTATTTTCATTTTATATTCAGAGCACATCCTTTCAAGCGGTATCATTATTTAGTAAAAATGAATGCGTTTTAAATTAATCATGTCTCGCAACATGCATTTGACTTGAGGTTTCTGGAACTAAACTAATTTCAGAAATAACAAATTGTTTTTTCTCAGAAATTTACGAACCTGCCATCATATTTAAGACTATCGTGTAAAATAAGATCTTTACTCGTTAAACAGTTAAATAATAATAACAAACAAGTTTACATATTAAAATAAACGTTGTACTAGATATCTCAAGTTCTGTTTCCAAATCCAAACTCTACATTCTTTCAAAACATGTGTTTTTCGTCACGCGTGAATCGCGCGAGACTGTCTGGTCCTACGATAGTTATACATACTCCCCACATTGACAGATCAGAAATATCTGTCAATATAACTAAACAACAAAACCAAAGCTAAAATATGTCACTCAGGCAACCAAACAAAAGCAAGCCCATTGGTCAGTGGAGGAAGGACAGCTTTGACTCAGTTAGACTATATCGCCCAATATCATTTACTTGCGTAAGCAGTAAGCTGATGGAACATATTATAACATCTAAAATGACGACACTCTTTGAGCTACACAACGTTCTCTACCAGCTGCAACATGGTGTTAGACACGGTCGATCTTGTGAGACACAGTTGCTTGAGCTTACAACAACTCTTCAAGCAAACCTTAACGCGACAGCGCAGACAGATCTTGTAATCATGGACTTTTCAAAGGCCTTCGACACGGTCTGCCATAACCTGAAGCTCCTAGCAAAACTGGACTTCTACGTACGGTATACGAAGTGATATCTTGCATTGGATATCGTGCTTCCTTGATAGTCGTCAGCAGTGCGTTATGAGTCGATGGAGAACAGCCCCATACCTCCCTGTCCTCTCTGGCGTTCCTCAAAGCTTCGTTATCGGCCCAATCTTGTTCCTTGTGTACATATTCCTTGTAGTCTAGGACCTGTATATGAGTTTGTATGCATTTCATTTAGGACAGATAATCTCAATCGTAATTTACCGTTATTTAGAATAAAGTACATATTATCTTACTATATAACATTGTTATAACATAAATGTTAATTTTTAAATAAAGTAAATATTGTTGTTCCATGTAATTCAGCTTCAGCTGCAAAATGGACTTAATTAAACTAATAATAATAATAATAAATCTGCTCGATCAGGCTTAGTGAACTCTCTCACCCATATTAATTATTAAACACGTCCTCGATCTACTCGATCAGGCTTAGCGAACTCTCTCCCATATAAATGAAACAAGCCCTCGATCTGCTCGATCAGGCTTACCGAACTCTCGCCCATATAAATTAAACAAACCCTCGATCTGCTTGTGGTTACTATGGCGACGTTGTTTATATGGCAAGGATAAATATGGCGGGAAAACTGAGCTGGAAGTTTTGACTGTTTTGTAGTCAAGTTTTGATGAAGAAATAGATATTGGGGGTAAAATTCCGATGTTATACGATAATTTAGTAGATTCTGCTATTGTATTTTCAGGTAATACTGCCCATATTTTAGAATTTTTGCTCAAAACGCTTGCGAAAGCTTACGAACGGTTGCTTTCGCAAGAAGCATGACGTGAAAGGTTTTTAAAACTCTTCGGATGTACACGTATCGTTCAAGTTCGATAGAATACAATTCACAATTAATTTTAGCCACTAGTTGATCTTTTCAGTTGAAAATCAAGAAATGCTCAACTTGAATTTGTATTTTTTTAACGAATCCTTACGAGAAGTTGTCTTGGCCAGCCAGTCAAAAAAAATCAAAGTTGGGACGAAACTTTTTCGACTATTGCGCTCATCAAACGTCCGAGCGAGTCGTATTTTGATTCAAAGGCCAAGAAGTAAAATATCTTTACGGCTCAGAATTACTTCAATTGAATGCCTTAAAAGTCGTACACAATTATTAACATAATAACCAAAAATCACGACATGGCCAAAATACAATTGTTGTTTATTTTTTTGCAGCGAAATAATGGTCTAATTAGGCAAAATTTAACACACAAAAATACCTCACTTTCCAACGCTGTGTATTCAATTGCTCAACTCCGAGTCTTATGAAAACGTTTGGAGATAAGCACATAATTATAATCTTTACCATCAACTGAATTTCGAAGTTTGGACGACTTGATAACATGCCCAAATGCTGTTTTGAAAATTTCCCTTTATTGAAGTCATCAAAAGCCCGACTCATTATCCTCAATATTTCTTTCAAAATTCAACTATACAGGCCAAACAAGCATTCGTACGATACACTAGTTACTACTTCGTCGTTACAGTGCAAAAACATCCTCAAGAATTTCGTAGTTAATGAAAAAACAGCAAAAATACAACAGCAGGAAAAATCACGCTCCTTGTCAACTTTTGCCGAAAAGCACGCTCGTGCCAGTCCTTTTCTGCATCACACATCGATCAGCACGACATCAGCGCGTTTCACCGCCCTCTATATAAGCGCCCTGCGCATAACCAAACCCGAACTGCACAGGTATCATATGTAACGTAATGTAATGTACTTCAGCACCAAGGCAGGATAAAAAATTTGCAAGATATGCAAACCAAATAGCTAAATTAAGTTTTTCCATGACAATTAAACTGATGTCATGGAAAATTCGCTTCGCGTCTCCAAATCGCGTCCGGTCTGTATGGGCCTTAACAACTCTGATTGACGGACATGTTATCGACAAACAGGTTTAGGAAAACCTTATATAATCATGGCACACTGCTATATTGTTAATGTTATTGTTAACTTAGAACCTCTTCCACAACAATATTAACTAGTAACTAGACGTTTGCATTAATTAACCCATTAAGTTGGATTGTGCCCTACTGCGCTCTACCACATATGCTTTCACTTGTTGAAAGCTATTGGTCCGATAGCCGAAAGACCGTAAAAATATCTATAGTTAGAGACTATTTGATTATTCAGAACATTTGAATGAGTAAAATTTTAAGAAATGTAAGTAGTTTCGTTTCGTGCCCAGATTTATGAATAAATGTAGTTTCGTTTCATGACCAGATTTATGAATAAATGTTGACCAACATAGATAATGAGTTATATTGTTATTCTAATGAGTTCCACAGCCATCTTCCCTTCGATAGGCTATATAGACGAAAGGCCGTAAAAATATCTATAGTGTATAGTAGTGAATGTATAAGTAGTTTCGTTTCATGCCATCGTCTTTTTATCTTCCCAAATTCACTATTTTTACAGTGCTGAGGCCAGCAAAGTTAATAAATGGAAATCATTGATCAATGCCAGCGGCACTAGCAGAGCTTTTATTCATCAAGCTCTTTTCCATAGTTTGCTTTTACAGCACCAAACC